TTCTCAGATAGCTATGCTATGTGAGCAATAGTAGCCAGATACATAAGACCACTGAGAGGCTGGAAGCCTAGAGGAGTTCTCAAGATTGCCACTAACAATCCCAGCAAGGACACGGCTATCCGCAGATAGCTATATCCAAAGGGACTTATCAAAAGTACCTTCCTAAAGAGCTGCCCAGACCAAGGGAATGACTATCTACTTAAACCCCGCAGGGGAGATAGCACTGTCTAAGCCAGGGCACAGGGAGACCACTACTTAAAAATATAGCTTTTATCCCCAGGAAGGGGCTACAGGACCAAAAACTAAAACCCCTGGTAAACCTACCTGTGAAGCTGCCCACACCACAGAGAGTGGGCTATCTATGTATGACCCTAGCAGGGGAGATAGCACAGTCTAGGCAAGGGCTCAGAGAGGCCGCAACTTAAAACCCCAAGAAGGGGGAGCAGTCCCTAAACTAGCACATTGATATCCTCAGATAGCCATGTACCCAAGAATGACTCTCTTAATGAGAGGCAGCCCTGTTCAGAAGTATCGCCAGAGATACATAAGTGAAGTGGGGCCCAAGGAGAACCGGGGCCAGAACCAACTCAGAGAATGGGAACAAAGTCGAGCGTGTTTCCCATACCATACAGGATTTTAGAAAAGTGCACAGGGTGCCTAGCCTGCACACTTCCCACAATGTGGATTTTAGAAAGCACACATAAGCTAGCGTGTACGCTTACCATAAAATCTCCTGCATTCCTTTTAGGCCATAAAACCAGTGATATCAGCATTGGTTACCATGGAACCAGAGGCCTGTTCTGCTTTTCTGAGGTGTTAGGTGCATTTCGGGGGAAGGGTCCATAGACCCTCGTAATTGGCCATTTGGTTAGGTGATGGGGAGTTCGATATTATTTGTTAAATATAACAAAAAGTTGTGTGTCTGATTGGTCCAAATGCTACAATAGATTTTAGGAATAGTAGAACAGGAGGGGACAGACTGAGACTACCCAGACCACCAAGAGTGGGCTGTCTACTTGCAACTATAGCAGGGGAGACAGCACTGTCTAGGTAGGGCTCAAGGAGACCACTATTTAAAACCCTTAGAAGGGGAGCAATCACCGAGCTATCAACAGCTGGTCCAACACAGCTAGCCTGAAAAATCCCAGTAAGTAATCCTATGATGCTACAAGAGTGGGCTATCTACTTACAACCCTAGCAGGGGAGATAGCACTATCTAGGCGAGGGCTCAGGGAGACCACTACTTAAAAACCCTAGGAAGGGGAGCAGTCCCTAAGCTAGCACACAGATATCCTCAGATAACTATGCGTGTAGGAAGGGCTCCCAGAGGTGGAACAGACTGAAAATACCCAGACCACGGACAGTGGGCTGTCTACTTACGACCCAGAGAGGGGAGACAGCACTGTCTAGGTAGGGCTCAAGGAGACCACTACTTAAAAACCCTAGGCAGGGGAGCAATCACCGAGCTAGCACATGGCTATCCTCAGATAGCTAGGCTCTAGGAAAGGGGACCACCACACCTACCATGGCAATGGCTGAAATATAACCACCCTTAGGTGGCTATGCTAAGGAGGTCCCCAATCCGTGTCAGTCCCACAATAGGCTAGCTTTTCATTACCAAAAAAGGCTCACAATTGGATGATCCAGACCATAGTAATGATTCGCTAAGGAGCGAACACATAATACCATAGTCCAGATCAAGGCCTGATGCAAGCAATGGCCATAACACTAGGTGGCTGGACAAAGCTATCCTCAAATAGCATTTTCCTCAGATAAGGCTGAAGTTCGCCCAGGCCATGAATGGGGCCATCTACCTAAAACCCGAACAGGGGAGACAGCGCAGTCTAGGCAAGGGCTCAAGGAGACCACTATTTAAAGACCCCACAAGGTGGAGCGGTCTCCAAGCTGGAACACAGCTATCCTCAGACAGCAGATTCCAAATAAGGCTTCAGCACTTACCTGAGACAGTTTGTACCCAAGGGGAACTAAACCCAGTTATAAACGCATGGCTAGAACATAGCTGTCCTCAGACTGCTATACTCCAAAGCAAAACAGCCTGAACTGGAGCATAATCATCCACAGATGGTTACACTCTGAGCAGAGACTGTTCACTCATCACCCGGCTAAACACAGGAAGGAACATTTCCCATAACCACTCTAGACTACTGAAGCACCCTGGGAGAGAAAGCTAACAGCTTCATTCCACAGAGTATTCAGTATAACCATGCCCAGCGAGGCTCTCCACACACAATAACATGCATATTAGAGAGGCACGGCGGAGTTGTATATAGCTCTGCCCGCGATCTCGCACGCCCTGAGCTAAAAATAACTCGGTGCTCACACTTCATCGTTATAGCAACGCGAGCAATATCCACGGCATCAGGCAACCCGATAGTCGAGGGTATGTGGACAGAGCAGATCAAAGCAATCGCCGCAAACGGAGATAAACCAAGCTGCGGCAACGGCCCGAGACGCGAACGCTTTGCCCTCACCTGTTCTATCCCTCGGGAATAGGAACAAACGCGAGCAGAGCGCATAAAAGTGATCCATCACAAAGAGCGCATGGCCACCGAGACACAGACGAAAAGGTTAGAATATGTCCTCAAGTGTTAGAATCCCAACACGGAGGCACATATTTCTCAAAGCGCTGCTCGACTCACCAGGATGATGTTTCACACACGTTCAACAGACAGACGGCTCCGAAGACAACAAAAGTTGTTGACGTGTTCAGCAGGTGCCCCTTTTATACTTCCGGGTACCTGCCTATGACGTCACGGGCCACGTGGACCAATAGGATTGGAGTTGTTTTGCGCATGCTTCAGGTACCGGTCACACAGACAGCGTTCCCCAAAGTGTCCACCAGGACGCAGCATTGAGTTCCCTAGAAGGGGAACTGGACTGACCTCCAGCAGACCGACGTGTTTGAGCGCTGAGGTTTCTGCTCAAATGAGACGGATCGACTGTATCATTGGAAATCCCGGAGTGCTGGTCATCTGCTACTCACTGTGCTGGTAGACTTAATCAAACTATTATTAAGTTGGCTTGAAAAAGCCAACTTACTGAAATCTGATTTAAACTTCTTCGGCCAAATTTTAAAATGCATCTGCTTCTAGATTTTTAAAGCTACAACCACCAAACTCTTTATACATATATATAAAATAGTAAGCAGAATATTTTCTAACTGATCCGGCTTACGGTTTTTCTCCCAAGCTGGTTTTAAAGTGGTCTGGCCTGCTAAAAAAAGTTTTAGCAGGCCAGGCTGGTCTTAAGCTATTTTTTTTACTGAATCAACTGGTTGTAGCTGGATTGGCATAGAAACATGCTAAGAACATGCTAGTAACTTTCCAATCATGCTATAAACATGCTAACAAAATGCTAGTAACTTGTTAATCATGCTAACAACATGCTAGCAACTTGTTAATCATGCTAGACACATGTTAGCATCATGTTAGTAACATGTTAATAATGCTAGAACCATGCTAGTAACATGCTAATAATGCTAGAATCATGCTAGCAACATGTTAATCATGCTAGTAACATGCTAGTGACTTGCTGATCATGCTATAATCATGCTAGCAACACGCTAGTAACTTGCTAATTATGCTAGAAACATGCTAGTAACATGCTAATTGTGCTAAAAACATGTTAGCAAAATGGTAGTCATGCTAGAAACAGCCTAGCAACCACCCCAGGTACCCTAGCAATATGTTTTATATCTATTTTTCTGATAGACTTTATTGCCTTGAAAACATTCAAACTTTAAATCTTTAAAACCATTTTAACTTTCAAACTACTTCAAACTGAAAACTTTCAGACTGCAAGCTTTTAAAACTACTTCAAACTTTCTGGCTAGGCTTTTCGAGACTCATCTAGTTAAACTATGATTTTATTTGGTGGTTCAACAAAGCTTCTACATCACCGACAAGACTATCTTGGTAATACAACAACACCAGAAACTCAAAGATCTTCACAACAACCCCAAAAAAAACAAAATGCGAAAAAACAAATGTGACAGAAATATGTTATTATTGTACAAAAGATGGTTTTGTTATTATTGTATTACTGTACTTCTCAAAGTAATAAATAAATAAATATTTTTTATGTTTTATTTTTAAGTTACCTTCTGTTGTGCAGCACTTTGTTTGCCAAAAAATAAATAAAATGAATTGTTAAAATCATTAAAGTTCAAATAATTAAAATGTAACTAAACCATTTAAAAAGAAAAAAAAAATACTGAAAACAGAATTTGCAAAAAAAAATAAATAAATGGAATTTGGAAAATTCATTAGGCCCTAAAAATGTATTTTTGTTAAACTTTTAATATACTGTACTTCTGTTAAATTGTATAAATTACATTATTTCAATTAATTAGACATGCTTTGTTTACTAAAATGTAATTTAACCATTAAAAAAACAATCCAGAAAACATGAAAATATTTGGAAAACATAAAACAGCCTTAAAAATATATTTTATTAGACTTTTAAATTGTTATATAAATAGTTCAATTAATTAGATGTGCTTTTTGATTAAAAAAAATTAAAACTGAAATATGAAAGAACAGGCCCTAAACATTTTTAATAATTTTAATACATTGTTATATAAATAGTTTAATCAGGCATGTTTTTTAATCACAAAAATTTAATTTATAAAACGGATAGTTCCGGTCCTTGATTCCGATTGGTTGAGCCGCATTCAAAGCTGTTGTAAATTACACTACAAACATACATCTTTGTTTACTTCTGTGTGTTGCTCGGCCACCACTTTGTTGGAACGGTTTCTGGGGAACTCCGCTTTGCGTCATGCCTAACAACGCCCCTTAGCTGTTATAAATTAACTGTAAACCATGGCTTCTTGGGGCTTATTGCTTTATTAACCATTAAGATGGAATCTAAAAAATTCAAATGTAAAAAATGTTTTTTGTAAAAAATGAAACCGATTTCATAGAGCCCTTTGAAGCACACAGTGATGAGGATGTTCAACATGGCTCGTGCTGACTTACAGGTAAGTACAGCAGCTTGAGGATGTGGACTTCTGTCCCGTTCAGGCTGGTGAAGTCCGTCCAGCATCCCAGAGACTTCTCCTGCAAGACGATCCAATCGTTGCTGTTTCCGGGAACATCCTTCAGCTCACAGATTGCATTGGAATCTACAGAGAATTAAAGCCAGGGAGTTATTGAAATCATCTGCAGCCCTGGAGAATAATAATATCCTGCCAGCAGCTCATAAATCATCTCCAGAATAAAGCACGTCCTTCCTCTGGAAGACACGGTTCAGGAGTCACTTCCCGAGCAGCAGAACTGAATCAGGCCAAACCAAGCTGATTTCAGAAATGAACGCATGTTACTAGCAGCACTAAATAATCAAAACCATCTCCTGATGTCAGATCAGAACTAATGGCATTAGCTGTAAACGAGAGTTACAGTATGATGCTGAAACACTGCTATTGTCTTGTTTTGCTCTGTTAAAGTCACTGCTTTTCATCATGATCACAGAAGGATGACAAACGTAGGGAATCTGATGAATCAGTAAATGATTCTTCTTATACTCTGATGCTTAAAATATTGAGATAAAGTTTCAAGTAGATTTAAAGGCAGTCAAATGGAAATCACACAACTGCTCTAAGGGCTTCGCAAACAATTTATTATGTGCAAAATGACATCCAAAGCATCAAGGAAGTCTAATTATGGGGAGAATGGAGCGTTAAATAAAGCTTTGAATCTTATTTCTATGAATCTGAACAAGCAGTTATTCTGAATTAAGGGTCATCTTTAGGGTTGCAACTAACCCCTATTTTGATCATCAATAAATCTGTAATTTATTTCTTTGGTGAATCAGCGGAACACAAAGACCTAAATTGTATTTTCTGTATTTCTGGACTAAACGTTTTCTATATATCCGAATGTTCTCCTCCAAACAACATGGTGGAAATGGCTATTGTTTGTTTATATATACACAATGCAATTACAAAGTTTGGGGTCTTTAAGATTTATTTTATTTATTATTTTTAAGAAAGTAATGCTTTTATTCATCAAGGTTGCATTAAAAATAAAAAAATTAATGTATCTCAGTTTCCATAAAAATCTTTGGCAGCACAACTGTTTTCAACATTGATATTAATTAGAAATGTTTCTTGAGCAGCAAATCAGCATACAATATTACAATATTCACATAGAAAACAGTCATTTTAAATGGTAAGATATCACAAATGTACATGTATTTTTGATCACATAAATGCAACCTTGGTGAGCAGAAGGGACTTCTCTCGAATACTTACTGACCCAACACTTTTGAACATTACCCGGATCACTAAAGAAACAGATATACACTAAACAAAACACTTTGAACGAGCCGAACGTGTCTGCAAAGGACAGACAGAGTGGAAGGAAATACAGGAAGCTACAACAACTGCAAGGACAACAGGAAATTCCATGTTTAGACGTCAAACTGATGGTGACGGCAGTCCAGGCTTTGTCTTAGTAAGTCGTGGGGCTTATCAAGGATGTAAGCACAGTCTGAACAGAGAAACACTGTAAATACACTGCATATTCTTAATGAGCATCTCGGTCTTGATTTACAGTAAAAATATCTAAACATACTTAAAACAATGTATATTTACCTGCTAACTGCATATGACTGATTTGAATTAGAATGTATTTGGATCAGTGTTGGAGAAAGTTACTTATAAAAGTCATGCGTTACAATATTGCATTACGCTATTTAGTCTAGATCTACAGTAAACAAAGTAAGTAGCGTTACTTATTTAAAAAAGCAACTCTGATATTTTCTTGTAAATTAAAAAGTAATGTGTTACTTTACTAGTTACTTGAAGTAATCTGATTACATAACTCGCATTACTTGTAATGCGTTTCCCCCAACACTGATTTGGATATAAGTGTATTTGGTGGCACTGCCACTTGTGTTTTTGCAAAAACCAAGAAAAAAAAAAAAAAGTGAAAATCTCCCAATCCAACAACATTCAATGGATAGACGGATGTAAACGTTTCAAATCCAATATTGACTAAGCATCACTCTGAATATTGACTCAAACACTGTCAATAGTGGACTGGACGCTTAAAGAGATCACCAAAATGTAAAAAGTTGTTCCAAACCTGTATGATTCTTTTGAGCACAAAAGAAGATATTCTGAAGAATGTTGGTAACCAAACAGCTGACGGTAGCCATTGACTTTTCTATACTATGGAAGTCAATGGCTACTGTCAACTGAATGGTTATCATTAACATTCATCGAAATATCTTATTTTGTGTTCAGCAGAAAAAATAAACTCATATAGGTTTAAAACGGCCTGAGGATAAGTAAATGAAGACAGAATTGTCATTTTTGGGTGAACGGTCCCTTTAATTTATGCCATATAAAACCACGCATTTATCAAAAAAAAATACTAGTTTTCAGTGGAGAAATCAGTCCACATCAAATTGCTAATGAAACACACATCTATTTATCTTCGTACATGTTCTGATGAGCTGTCAGAGAGACCATCAGTGCTGACGGTCATAATGATGAGCAACAGATGAATGATTTCTCCAGCGGCCTTACATATATCAGTCAGACTCATGGGACGTAAACGCTGACCCGCAGAGATGACCCGGAAATGCCAGCGCTTTCACTAAGCACTTCTGTGTTAAATGAGCTATAAGCTGCAGCTTTATCGCGTTTCATCAATGGCTCTTTCCCATGCAACCAAATGTTTAAGGCTACAGACATCCAATCGGGCCTATTTCTCTGAGCCAAGACACAAATAATGCTCTGCTATCCATCACAGCAGCTCGTTTGTTATATTCCCTGCCCTCATGCGTGCAAGAGAGAGGCTTCATTTTACATTTTGACCCTCGGGCCTTTGTCTGAAGGAACACACACACTCACACAATCACAAGTGTGTGTCTCAGCTCTTGCCAACTGGGCGAATATCACAGCGACTCGCAGAGGAATTGCTTATTACCGGAAAGCACACGCGCGCAGCAGTAGGGCACCAAGAGATGAGTTTGATTTCTAGCGTTCTAAGCGGAGAGAAGGTCACGCAGCGTGCCAACACACTCATGGGTTTCCGGTAAAGGCTTCACATTTTCAATTTTTGGGAAAATGCTTCAAATCAATCAAAGTACATGTCATGACACTTATCGAGACAGAGCACGATCACACTGAGAACATGCAATCATTTTTTTTTCCTCATGTCAGGTGAGAATGGGAAATTTCTGGCCTCCTGATACAACGCCAGTACACTGGGCTGGGCTATATGGACAAATATAGCAGCACAATATTTTTTCTGTATCATAAATATCGATATTTATCACAGTATTCATTTCTACCATTAATAGGGAAGGAAATGCATTGCACATTGCACAAACTCCACAGAATAGTCTATGTTTTCATTAATGGCCCAATGAATTCGGTTTATGTTTTTCCCTAAATTACGTATTTTTCCATTTCATTGTGTTTTAAGATTTAAAACAAATGTATAATCAAAAATGGCGTCTAATGAAATGAATTCATTAAAAATTGTACAATTTAATAAATATTTAAAAATGTAATCAAAATAAAGCATGAACAAAAACATGGTTAAAAATATCTTGGTTGTACGTTATTAAATCAATCTACAAAGGTTTTAATAATAATAATAATAATTTGTATTATTATTGTTGTTGTTGCTCTGAGAAGTACATTTTACTCTACTATATTAATATATTTCTGACTACATTTCTTCAAGTTAAACCTTTCTTTCTGGTGGGTTGTAGTGAAGATCTGTGAGTATCTGTGTGTATCTGAAAATAGTTTTTAGGGATACACAACTGATCGTCTAGATGAAGACTAAATATTAAAAATTACTCAAAAGTTGATTACCAATATTGCGAATTTATTCATTCATCAATACTAATTGTACACCCTACTAGTAAAAAAAAATTAAATAAAAAAAAGAATCTGAAAGATCTGTCTGGGAAATTTCCATGTGGTGAAATCAACTCTCACTGGTGGGACTCAAACATCTTGGGTCAGAGTTCTCGATTTAAAAAAAAAAACATTGAGAAGCCCTGCTATTAGTAATTCATTGGAAATTTGATTTCTTAAAGAGTGTCAGTGCCTTTTATACATTGCTGTGCTTGACTGATCAGCTGACATTCTTGTTTAACCCATCGCATGAGTTTGGGGCAGGACTATCCATGTTATGGTTTAGCTGGTTAGCACTGACCCATTAACCCCTGCTGGCAGTCGCCATTTCCACACCATTTGGTTTCTCCATTAATGACCAGTCAAGTACAAATATCTAAACATTGCTAAATCACCATACATTTACTTGAGAAGCAAAATAACATTAGATATGATGTTTAATTTTCTGAAAAATCAAAAGTAGGCTAAGTGACTTTTTGCATAACACAAGAATATCTCCATGGGTGTCTGAGAAACTTGACATAGGTAGATAGAAACTGCTTGATATATGTTTATTTTTCTGACCCTATCTGCATTCTTTTTCCTTGGATTAAGTATAAACTCACTTAATTTTGATAGATTCATAAAAAAAAACAAAAAAAAACAAGACTTAAGTTATTTTGCTTCTCAAGTAAATGTATCTTGACTGAAATAGGTAGTTCACCCAAAAATGAAAATTGTCATTAATTACTTACCCTCATGTTGTTCCAAACCCGTAAAACCTTTGTTCAAAAATATCTTAATTTGTGTTCCGAAGATTTAATTTGTTGACCCTCCATAGACAGCAATGCAACTGAAATGTTCCCAGGCCCAGAAAGGTATTAAGGTATCATTAAAATAGTCCACATGATAACAGTTGTTCAAGCGTAATTTTATGAAGAATACTTTTTGTGCTCAAAGAAAACAAAAATAATGACTTTATTCAATAATTTAACTTCTTTCGTTTCAGTCTTCGATGTGGGTTCACAAGAGTACCACAATGTCACATGGACCATTTTAACAATGTCTTTACCTCCTTTCTGGACCTGGGAACGTTTCAGTTGCATTGCTGTCTATGGAGGATCAGGCAGCTCTCGGATTTCATCAAATGCATCTTATGGTGCGTTCAAGTCATATCGGACAGATCGTATTTACGAGTTGAACGCACATGAACGCCACCACAAAGTCGTTATTACGAAATTTTCTTTAAGCCCCGAGTTTCCGAG